AACATGGTGATGAGGTTGCTCCGAACAGATGGACTTTCATTCTATAGACCTCTGGCTCTTTCTTCAAATTTCCACGTGGCCACCACAAATACCTGAGAGCGTCTCGGTCGTGTATCGAGACCATTACTTGATGGAACATGGCTTCAATGTCTGCCGTAAGGCCGATTGGTCGTAGCCGAAACCTGGTGAAGACGTCTACTAAGTTATTGACTAGATCAGGCCCAGAATAAAGATTTTTTTTTAGAGACGTCCCAGCATACTGAGCCGCGCAATCGAACACTATTCTTAACTTATCGGGCTTCTTGGGATGAAAGACAGGGTGATGAGGAAGATACCATATTCGTCCATTAGAGTCTTTATCATCTACCTTCTCGGCGTAATCCTTTTCTATATATCGTGCCATAGTATTCACATAGTCTTGAAACAGCTTCGCATACCTGACAAGACTACCTCTTAAACAGCTGAGTCTATGCTCTGCTAATTTTTTCTTATTAGGCAGCTTATGTTCATGCCTCCACGGCAGAGCTATTTGGTAGTGTCCATTTAGCTTTTGAACTGAGCTTGATATAGCGTTGAATGCTATACGATCTTCAACAGACATCGATGGGGTAAGACTAAATGGATCTTTGAATTCGGTTGAATACAACTGCTCAAACTTATCTTCTAGTTCGTCCTTAGCTGAGAGGTGATTAAGTGTATGATGGTTTGACCTGATGGTGTATGTTTGACTCAAAACAGATACAAAACTGTCGAATCCATATGGACATGTGTCGTTCTCTTCGATAGCTTTTCTTTTCAATTCACGACGTCTTCGACAGGCTTCGTGAGACTGGAAAACACTCTTATCACAAACCATTCCATCCTGTTCGATGATTCCATCAAATAATGTTGGAAGAAGAGTCTTTTTGTCTTCTAAGGAAGAGAAACCACTTGTACTTACATGAGTAGGACATGACCGATAGCGATGTGTTTCAGGATCCGAAGTGCGGTCTAATGACTTGCTTTCTGACACATTTGTCCTTATTCTTTAGCTTGAGAAGTTCCCGATGCAGAATCATGGCTACTACTACATGAATACTGCAGATCAAATTGACTAGGGAGTTTATTTGTGGATAGTGTACCTGGCTCTTTATAGAATTTTAAGACATAATCGATTTCGTACTGAGTTGCTTTGCTGTAACTTGCTGACGGGTGTCCATTCTACAACGCGATCCCAAATATAACGTATGCAATACTCTGCTCCTGTCCAATGTCGCTGACGATGGGCTAGAACCTCAGCAAGACATTGGAAATCGTTGCGGCATGTAGCCATTACATAACTACTCCACCTCATTAATTGCAACCATTCTCAAAGTTCGTGAGTCAACTAGAGCAGCAGGCATTTGTAACCAACTGAGAGTATTAATCAACAGTCTGCATTTATACACTAAACGTACTACTATCTGTGACCTGCAGAGAGATTCGTTATTTTTTTCAGCACTGTTGTTGTGTATATGATTTAACTGGAAATGAAAAGGGTCAAAATTATTACACCTCTGTTTATTAGCATCGGAATTATTATCTCGGCAATGCTGTCGAATCACTGGCATTTCTCTTTCACCTGCAACTAGGTCGACTTCCGCTCAAGTTAACGTTTCTTTCTTTTTATCTTCAACTACTTCCTTAGCAGAATCTTCTAAATTTTTCGAATCCTTAAAGTCTGTCTGAGAAGCTGTAACAACTTTAGCCAATGTAGTAGAATCACACGAAGCGGAATCATGACTTGTAGATGACGATGTCCATAAATTAACCGAAGCATCTTTCAACACATCAGCATTCACAACGCTTGATGAAATATTTGATCCGAGAATACAATCAGATGGAATGTCTTTCTTAGCTATAGCAAAACTTGATAGAACGGCAGGTGAATTAGCTAATTCTTTCGATGCTTCGAGTGATGCAACGGAAGCCTCTATGTGAGAAACATAATGATTAGAAGGAGAACTAGAAAAATCCTGATCTGTCGATTTAGTGCGAAGAGGGTTTCTTTCATTCAGGTTTATCTGAATTTTATCATGTTCACTGTTACTTTCCATAATAAACAATTTTGATTTCTTCTCGGAAACGGCTACAACTTGTTTACGATATTCTCTTCCTTTTTGACGTAAGCGTTCTAACTCAATTTCTTTCTCTATAAAAGCTAAACGTACTTCAGCTGATTCTAACTCTAACAGAGGATCTATTCGGTAGCTATTTCTTCTAAACTGGTCTTCACTGTGAGTTTCCGAGCGGTAGGGAGACAATTTAGGAATCTGATCAGTTTTAAGAATCTCCATGGACATTTGAAGGTAA